AAATTCCCCTGCGCCTCGGTTTTCCCTCTGAAAAAACGGGGGGGGGGGAATAAAATGGTTCTCAGCTCCCAGGGCTACTGTGAAGGTTAAATTAGTTAATATGTTTCAAATGCTGAGTCACTTTTGGTACATGAGTAACAGCTGGTATCAAGGGCTGGGGAGGTGGACTTAGACTAACAATGAGCACAACTCCTCAAACCTGAGGGACCAGACTAACAATGAGCACAAGTTCTCAAACCTGAGGGACCATGTGAATCACCCGCGATCTTGTGAAAAGGAAGATTCTGATTTAGTGGGTCTGGGGTGGGGCCCAAGATTCAGCATTTCTAGGTGATGCTGTTGCTGCTCATCTGGGGACCATGCTTTGAGTGGCAGCGTTGTAGCAGGACTTGATGCCCCCGACTAGGAGTGGCCAGTGGTCCCCTGTGACATCACCATGCAGTGTACCTCCTCTCCATTGGCTCAGGCTGAGCCCAGGCTTTCCTCCAGGTGTGGGGTGGCCAGGAATGGGCACGGGGCCATGGGGAACTAACAAGTGCAGCCTCAAGAGCGTCAGCTGTGGGCTCCAGGCTTTATATGGTACGGGAGAAGCCAGGCGGGGTTGATGGAAGAGGTGGAAGCAGACCGAGGACCCGAGAGCACAGTAAGGCCAGGCAGTTGGTGTGGGACGGAGGTGCCTGAGAGCTGGTGGGCACAGGGGCCAATGGCAGAGTATAAGCTATGGGGACAGGCAAATATTTACTGCTGAAAACTTGGTGAGTCTAATTTTATTTTTTGATGTTTAATTTCTGATCATTTAGAAGGCTTTTTTGTTTGCTTGGCTGTGCCTCAAGGACATTATAAACGGCAGTTGATTAGAAACATGTTTTCTACTTCTGGTTGGTAGAATGCCTGAGGAGAGAAAAGTTACTGGGTGTTGCTTTCTGCCATGTCCACGGTGTCCTTGGTGGGCAGATGTGAGGTGGGTGGGCTCCCCATCTTGGGTTCAGCCTACATACAGTCAGGCACGTAGTTTGTCCAACAGGTAGAGGGGAAGTGGAGAACAGGATTCCCAGAGATGGGAAAACCATTCCAAGGAGACCCTGAAATACCACTCCAGGGAGAAGTTATGTGGCAGTGGATGTAGCTGGCCGGTGCCTTGGGAGGAAGGGCATGCAATACTGAGACGAATTCTACTAAACTGTGGTCAGTATTTCTTTGGGTCACATTCATCCTTTGTTCAGGAGTGTGTTAGAGAAACACACTTGCACTTCTAACATATTTAACCCCTTGTATAGAAAGTGCTTCCGTTGGCTCTCTTGTACTCTCTTGTATACATCCTTCCTCCTGTTCTGGTGTCAGGGGCTAGGTGGCAACCTGAGATATTGTATGGAGGTCCTGGGTCCTGATACTTATAGACAGCTCCTGTTCGAAGGGGCACCCCTGGGAAGATGAGTCCAGGAGCAGATCTAGGGACTGTGTCTCTTTTTGCTGCCATTCCCTCTCCCTGGCCTCCCCATCCTGGCTCTGCCTCTGCCTCTGCCTCTGACCTGACCCCATGGCCACAAGAACTGGCCGGGGAACCACACCGTTGTTCCCTCTATCTGTCTGGTGGAGCCTGACTTTTTGTGGGAATCAGAACTTCATTTCTTTAATGGATTTTCATAAAAATGCTGTTTCAAGGAAGAGAAGATAATACTACTTTCCTTTTCAGAGGTATGGTATAAATAGAACTGCTCAATTGTGTTTTATTCCCAGTTTTGGGAATAAATGTTATTGCATGTAAAACTTTTGTCTAACCTCGCTACTGCCAGCTCTGACCTGAGGAATTTGTGGGCTTATGAATAGCTCTAGCTGTCACTTAAGTTGAGCTCATTTCTTTGAGAAGCAGTAGGTTATTTTTTTAAATCGCCAACAGAGAAAAAATTTCATTCAACCACCTCTTGGCTTTACTCAGTGAGTGAGCCATTTAATAGAATAAGAGCGACGTAACAGGAATGCAGTCAGTTCTGAGGGTGGGTAACCTCCATGCTCATCACGGTAGGGGATGGGGGAGGATAGAAGCTTTTACGCATCTTTTTTTGAAGCATCTATTTTGTAGATTATTCTTCAGTTCCTAAATAAAAACCCCATTTGTTTAAACTATGTGAAACTTAGTTGCCTTGGCTCAAGACCTAAAAGCGTCCTGTCATCCCTACAAACTCCCTACAAGGATGTAATTTTGTAAAATTGCTTTCTGGTCTCTTCCGCAGAGGTCAATGTCGCATAAATACACTGTGAAACCTGGGTTTCAAATTATGCTGCGAGTTTTTTCCTTTCCAATAAACGGAGACAACAGTCTTAAGGAATAAATTTGTATTCTTAGTCTTGCTATGCCTACACCAGTATTTTATGCTACCTAGATTTTTGAGTGTTCGTTGTCTTAATTTCGACATTTATTTGTTTAATCAATATTTACTACTTAAAGGCCCATCCCACCATTTCTTTCAATGTCTGAGGCTATAATCCTAGACATTTTGCTTTATCTTTCTCCCAGCAAATAAAACTAAGAGGAGGGACACAGTCAGGGTGATAAAATAAAATAGAAATAGAAGTTGGCCATTTTGTTGTCTGTAGTTGGATCCCACTTGAAGAAACAAAACGGACAGCTTTTGTAAATGTAGAGCGAGAGGAAAAAACATAAACTAAATTTTAGAGTGTGAAGCTGCACTATCTGACTCTTTTCAGAAAGAGAGATTTCCCTGGTGTGATCTTTTGAATGAGTACTTGAAGAACACTAATTCGTCACCCATTCTTGGGTTTTACAATCTGAGTGAAGGTAGAGTTTTTTTCTGTTTATGATCCACAATTTTACTTTTCTTCTCACTTCTTAGTTAATAGTATGTTTTGTAGTAGATGTGGCTTTAAATGCTTTCTTTTAATGTAGTCATTATCAGATTTTCCTCTGTATTGCTCTCGTCATGATTAGTGTTGCCAAGAAAATAATTAATTTTACTGTATATGTCAACAGAAAATCTTTTCTTTATTCATTTCTTTGTAGCTTTAAAATGAGCAGTTTGTTCTAAAAAATCCTGAAGTGCGTTTCAGCATCTTTTTCTACAGTACGTTGCCAACATCTATAAGTATCATTAAAATCACTGTCATTAAATAGGTCTTTCCAATGACTCAAAACGCAAGTGGAAAAAATATCTTATGCGAAGCACAGAAGGAGTTTTTACTCAGTGCTGAGTGTTTTGAAGGTGAATTAGTGGAGAAAAAAGCTTTTTAAAAAAACTGAGCACAGCCGTTTGCAATTATGAATAAGAACCTTTTGCTTGTTTTTTAAGTTTCTGTGTTGCAGCTCACGACCAAGTGGTCAGGCTTACTTGTACAGGTTCCACATGGTAATGCCTTCAAATCAAACCCAACCCCAAGTCTGCATTGTTTATGACTTCACATTGATCCAACATGTGTGAATGATTACTTTACACCTAAATTCTGTGGTATTTCCCTTGGAACTCATGAACTTCCTGCGGTATAACTGGATAGTTTCTATTATGGAAAAATAGCCTTTCTTCATGTCATGCTCTTTCAAAGTCTTCACAGGACATTTTTAGACAGCTGGTTTTCCACAGTTAGCATTCAGTGGCATAGGACAACTTGCATTTGAATGGGAATCTGAAGGCTTTTTTTCTTGCCTTCATTTTGTTTTTACACCTGTGTGATATCTTGGGTCACTTTCTGGGCCTTTGTTCTCCCATCTGTAAAGTGAGGGGGTTTGACTAGACAGTCTCCAAGGTCCCTTTCCGCTTGCGGTTTCTCTGAATCAGTGGATCACTGGTTGTTATGTTCACGTCATGTTCGCTTGCTACATTGCTTTGTTTAACCACGTCTCAGACCATTTTTTGCTCTGTTTTTTAAAATCGAAGTAGAGATGATTTACAGTGTGCCAGTCTCTGCTGTACAGCAAAGTGACTCAGTTATACACACACATGCATTCTTTTTTTTAATATTCTTTTCCATTATGGTTTATCCCAGGATATTGAATATAGTTCCCTGTGCTATACAGTAGGACCTTGTTGTTTATCCATTCTAAATGTAACACTTTGCATCTACCAACCCCAAACTCCCAGTCCCTCCCTCTCCCTCCCCGTCTCCCGCCACCTTGGCAACCACAAGCCTGTTCTCTATGTCTATGAGTCATCTCAGTCCATTTTTAAAAGCAAATTACTTTGGTCAGAGGCTCATTATTCTCAGTCATCCGCTCCTTTGAAAAGTGTTGCCTTTTCGACCACAGAGACACGTGGAAAGCATTCCCCGTGGACCACATATCTACCCTAGCTCAAAAAAATACGAAATAATGGCAGAAAATTGTTATCATCTGTTTAGTTCATCTGACCTGGCTGCTGGTTATCTTGCTGTGTTCCTGGCAATCGCGAAAGGTGTGTTAAGAACAGTCTTGATGTTGTGTTGTTTTGCTCAAGTAGGTTGAGCGGAATCCTGGGAAAATAAGCATGATGTCAGGTTCTGAAAAAGAGCAAGGTGGCAACAGAAGGGTATTTGCTTTTTTGATATAAGTTGTAGATGGTTGATGCCCTAGACTAGTTTGCTTCACTAGGCTGCCTGAGTCCCTTGTCTTCCCTTAGTCCTCAGTCTCTTGCTTGCATGCATTTCCTTAAGCAGTTTTGAAACCTACCACGTGGAGTTTCACGTGTAGTGATTCGTACAGTGTTAACTGAAGCCAAAGTGAAAAATGGGCTTGATCCTTATGGCTGATGTGTGTCGTACTCTTCCAAAATATTTTGTTCTACACACATAGAGTAAAACATTTCAAGAACTTAATATCTTTGGAAAGAGTTTGAGTGTAGAAGTCTGGAGGCTGTGTAGTCTTTTGGGGTATTCACTGCTAGTTACCCCTGAATTCATAACCACTCAGGTTACTTTCAGGGTAAGCGTATGCTGTGTAACCCAAATAGCTGCACCCGCGAGCACTGGTTGTGTTCAGCTGGTGAAGAATTGGGTGGGGATTTGTTTTGGCCCAGGTGAGAAGAGTTCCGGGGTCAAGCGGTCACCTTCATAAAACCGAAGACGGTGACTGGGAGTGGAGTGACGACGAGATGGATGAAAAAAGTGAAGAAGGGAAAGCAGCTTTTTCGCAAGAAAAGGTAAAATGACACTGATGATGATTTTCTAACCTGTGTCTATTTTATTTTTGTGTTTTTGGGGGCGTGTGTGTACTAATGAATATGTAATTGTTTTACAGTCACGAAGAGTAAAAGAAGAAAATCCAGAGGTGAGTGGTGGTTATTTATTTAGTTCTTTGCTTCGTCTCCCCCCCAGCCTCCTCCCACGAGTATCAGAGTCTGATCTCTTTGGGGAAGAACCTTCAAAATTTTGTTCTCGTGGTATAGGAAAAAAAAGAAAAGGCACATAGGCTTTGCAGGTCTTGATACTGTCTGAGTTACTTTGGAGCTGTGTATATTGGGGCAGATTACTCTCTGAACCTCAGTTTCCTCCTCTGTCAAATGGGGGTGATCACAATACTTATAAAATTGCTGTGAGGATTGATAAAATCACATACATGAAGCACTAAGTGGGGTTCTTAGCACAAATTAGTCAGTCACTTCATCTTAATTCTTAGGATTACTGTCACTTAGAAAACATACTAGGCATACAGGAAAATTTCTCCTAGATTTTTAGTTTACCATAAAGCAAGATATTAACATGGTTAGAAACTCTAGGTTGAATTTGTTGGTTTTGATTTTTAAATCTCCTGGGTAACTTAGCAGGCAAGGAACAGTCTTTCATCAGCCTCCCTTTGAGAACTGGTCATCTTTTGATTAACTTTACTTCCTCCACTGCTTAATTATTCTAATGACTAATGATGACTGTAGTTCAAAGGACTTCCTCATTCTCCTAGAGGAAGTGTAAGCATATTTAAATAGCTCCAAGTATTTTACAAATCTAGTATTTAATGTGCACTTTGATAAATTCTCTTTAAGAAAACAGAATCGGGCTACAGATGATATCCATCCCAACTTTCTTTTTAAATTAGCAGACAATTCCTTTTAATTAAATGGAGTAAATCTTATCATTCTGCTTTAAGTGGCAATAACCAGCTGGACCATCTAAGAAGAGAGCATCAGAGCTACAAGCCACTCTTCCCCCTGTCATTCTCCCCCACCCCGGCTCTGGTCTCTTTTCATTCTCATGCCTCCTTGACGGGCCTTTCCTAGGGATTTTTCAGTCTGCCTGCCTCCTACTGGTAACTCTCCTTCAGATCCTCTTTCCTCCTATATTTATCATATGAACTAATCTCTCTATTTCGTACATCAAATATGAGCTTTGATCAAGAAGTTAGAAGGATGGTGATGTGCTCCACAGTAGGACATGTTGGCTACACACATATCCTGCTGGATGTTTGCAATGATCTTAACCCATTATCATGAACTCTGCCGTCTTCTTGCCCACTGTTTTATCTAGAGTGAAGTGCAGATCAAGGTTTTTCATCTATTTCTAAGAGTGACTCTAACTAAAAGTGTCAGTTCTCCTTAGAAATAGAACAAAATAACATGATTCAAGTAGCGTCATTGACTCAAAAATCATTCGTTATTGGTTCACTGCAGGACATTTTCGCTGGAAGATATTCACTGGAATTCTGCCTTACTAGTATAGGCTGATGGGTGTAGGTCTTTCCTCATGAGGATTTGTTAAGTTTATTTCGAGAATATCTTACTCTGTACTTGTTGCAATTGCTCTGATAACTGATCTGTTATTTGGATAATAGCAGTATCTTTCTGGCACATGTATTTTCTTCATAGACAGGAAAAAGTAGTATATAGCATGCTGTCAGTTGTTCATCAAACATCCCTGTCAACCCTCTTGAGTGGAATTTGAAAGTCTTAGGCACTTCACTGTATCTAGACTCACTTGATTTCCCTCCCAGTGGCATATGTCAGTTCCCATACTGGCTTATAATTAAGGAAGCATATAGATAAGCTTCTTATTTCTGTGGAAGGATACATTAGTTTGAATGTAAACACTCCCCCCAAACTTAAGGAATCACCAGCTCTATCTGCTATTACACAGCTTCCCACGCCATTTTACTGTTTTTGTTTTTTTGGGGGTAGTTTTCGCAAGGCTGGCGTTTCAGCATCCTGAGCTGTGTTCAGAATCTCTTCAATGTTGGTTCCTGTGTCCTTTCAGCTTTTGATTAAAGTAGCCCCCTGATTTACCAGTCACACCAAGTCACTTTTTGGATGTGAAGCAAAAAATATTTTTTAATCTATTATAAAGGGAATTAAAATGGTTGAATATGTAAATATTCAACAAACATAAAGTATATAAATTATATAAACATAAATTATATATATATATAAATATAAAATGTAAATTATATATATAATGTGTGCACTGTTTTAGTAGGTGTTGGGGATACATCAGTGAGAAAAACAGAGTGAAATCCCTGTCCTTGTGGGGCTTCCATTCCAATGGGAGTAGATAAACGATATCCAATAGCCTTCATAAGTAAGTAAGTTATGTGGTTTGTTACAGTGGAATGGGAGTAATGGAGAAAAATAGAATCCCAGGGTAGAGGGTGAGGTAGTATGGTAGGGGTTGATAATTTTAAAAGGGTTAGTCTGGATAGGCCTTACTGAGAGGCACATAAAGACTTGTAAAGGGGCTTCCCTGGTGGCGCAGTGGTTGAGAGTCCGCCTGCCGACGCAGGGGACATGGGTTCGTGCCCCGGTCCGGGAAGATCCCATATGAGCCATGGCCACTGAGCCTGCGCGTCCGGAGCCTGTGCTCCGCAACGGGAGAGGCCACACACAACAGTGAGAGGCCCGCGTACAGCAAAAAAAAAAAAAAAAAAAGACTTGTAAAAAGGTATGGGAGAATTAAATAGAAATAACTCTGAAGGACCACTTTTATCCTGCTACCGTTCTTACCCCTGTGACTGTCCTGTCTCTCCAGATGTATAAGTTTGCAATGTTTTCTTCCAGACCTTTCCTGCTCGTTCACGTACAAATATGTACATAAAGAAGTCTAGCATATCATTTTAAAAATATAAATGAGATTATAAAAACTATAAAATTTTGCATCTTGCCTTATATCTTGGAAATCTTTCCACAGTAGTTGCTATAGATCTACCTCTTTATTTTTAACTGCTGAGGAGTATTACCTGTCAAAATGGTTTATTTAACCATTTCTTTCTTCTTGAGCATTTAGGTTGCTATTGCAAACTGTATTCCATTAACATTTTTTGTGTTCGCATTTTGAGGGGCGCACATATAAATCATAGGTGCATAGAACTGTGATTGACAGAATTTGCTGATTTGGGATTTTTATAGCTGTTTTCAAAAGCTGTATCATGTTAAATATCTTATCATTGTATTTGTCAGTTATACCTCAAAGCTGGAAAAAAAGGCTGTATACAGTCTCAGACAGTGTACCTTATACCTTTAAACATCTTTTAAAGGGAAAAGATGTACTAAATGGCACATTGAAATGCTAGTGTGTTCACTTCGTAATAAGCTTTTCAGTAATACTTGTTATTTAAATTGCAGTTGAGTTATTTACTTGACTATAAGCCACTTGGTGACTGGGGATAGTATTCTTTTCATGTCCGTGTTCCCTTAGCATCTAGTAGACATGCTATATGTATTTGTTGGTCACATGGAAACCTAGGCACTGAAAATCAGACTCTAAACAAGTGCCTGAATAGGTCTATCATATTTATAAGTAGGTAAGAAGTGGGGGAAGGATCAGAAGACGTTTTATAATCGAGCTGAAGTTCAGAAAAAGTAGCCTTAGTAGTTCCACACTTTAGAGTGAGATGCTGCAATAAAGAAGGGGCATTTTAGAAATGCTTATTTTGTGAGGGGCTATTTGGCTTCCTGGAAGTATAGGCGGAATGTCCAGGTATTACAGCACTAGTTGGAGAAGACTGAGAAGGCCAGGGTGGGGTATTTGCCAGAGGGACATTGGGTAGGTGTGCCTGGTACAGGACCGTATTTGGAGATGAGAAATTCCGGTGTAAAATGTAAAGTTCCAGAGTCACACCACTTGTCTAATGAGATTCGTAGCCACACTTAGTGAGAAATTGGTCCTAGTGTGTTCTTAACCTGGTTTTTAAGAAATAGCCTTGCAAAGTACTTGTCACCTACTAGTAATTAATTGTTTGTAATAAGTAAATAATTCATGCTAATTTCATTTATTTAGTATCTTATTCCACTTGGATGGTGGAAGCCAGTGGAGACTAAAGGTTAATAATATAACAATAATAATGAAGTTAGTTAATTGGACAAATGTTTAATCTGGGTCTGATTTCCCATGGAGCTGCGTTAGGCACTGTGGCATTGTGGGAATTATACAAAAGCACAGAAGAGGGCCTTCTCTCCAGAAGCTGCTCATCTCTTTGGGGGTAGGGCTCGGGAGTGGTATTTGCAAGGACAAATACCAAATAAGTGGTATTTCTTAGGTAGGGTTTCCTAGTTGTTAAAACATTCTAGCTTATATAAAACCTTTCAACTATTATCTCATTATTGATTTTTTTTATTTGCTTTATAAAAAATTTTCATTGTGGTTTGATCTTCTTTTTGACCAGTGATTTTGGAATCCTTTTGTCAGTCTCCAAAATAATCAGTACACGTCTTATAATTCTTTAAGCAATTTTTATACCTTAATTTTTTATATAAAAGTAAAATTGACTTTATTTTTTCTTTTAAATTTATTTATTATGTTTGGCTGCGTTGGGTCTTCGTTGCTGCATGCGGACTTTCTCTAGTTGCAGCGAGCAGGGGCTACTCTTTGTTGCGGTGCGTGGGCTTCTCATTGAGGTCTCTTCTCTTGTTGCAGATCACAGGCTATAGGTGCGTGGGCTTCAGCAGTTGTGGCTCATGCGCTCAGTAGTTGTGGCTCGCGGGCTCTAGAGTGCAGGCTCAGTAGTTGTGACGCATGGGCTTAGTTGCTGCGTGGCGTGTGGGAACTTCCCGGACCAGGGCTCGAACCTGTGTCCCCTTCATTGGCAGGCAGATTCTTAACCACTGCACCACCAGGGAAGCCCTGACTTTATGTTTAAATTCACACTTTCTTTTGGTTTCATTTAAGTGAGGAGGACATTTTCCAAGGCTTCTATTAAGGAACCACTCGGTTTATAGTAGTCCTTCTGTTAGGGGTCATGAAAACATGGTTTGCAATCCTGGCTCCACATCAGAAAAACCAAAAGCTTTAAAAATGCGGATCCCTAGACCCAGCAAATCAAATTTTGATTTGGTGGTTTGGGGTGATGTCCAAGGCAACTCTGATTTTTAAAAAATCTGTTCATGTGATTCTGATACGTGACTAGGATGAAGGACCCACTGACTAGGGAAACTGCACTAGTCGCTCTGAATCCAAAAGTCCAGACTGGAATCCAGGAAGATTGAGTGCTGCAAATACCTGAAGATTTGTTTTAAATATCTGCCTATCAGAAGTCTTAAAAAAAAAAACAAAAAAAAACCCAAGCAAGCAAACAAACAAACAAAAAAACAAAAAACAACTAAGACATTTCAGAAATCCCTTGGAAAAGTTGTCCTTATTTAATCAAGTGTAATGGTGCCAGGTGGGAAGGTTTGATGACAGAAGCCCTGCAGGGCCCATGACAGGTATATTGAAGAATTTTGTTGTAGAATCTAGGCTAGATTAATTGTTTCCCAACTCTTTTGTTCTGAGGAGAAAATAACATTTGGTGTGGATTTAGGTTGAGTGAATTTTACCAGAGTTTCGACACAATGTGAAAGCTAAATTCATTGTTTATGTTCCTCAGTGCTATTGCTGGATGATTGTTAAAACTGCCTTTAGCTTTTTGAAATTATTTCTGATGACATTGTGTTTTCCAGATGCCTGTCAGCTCTCACGTTGTCTTATACCCATTTGTAGTTGGAGGCAAAGATTTGATTTCTCCCTCCAAATTGATTGTACTGGATCACAGACGGCTTTTGCTTGATGCTTTTATGATGTCACTTTCTAAAAGGTGTTCTTATTGCAGGTGACTGGCTTTCCAATTAGTTGTGGTTAAACTTAGAATCTCCTGTATTTCTGAAAATAAACCTTTTGTTTTGGAGTAATTTTAGATTTACAGAAAATTTGCAAAGATAGTGTACTCTGTAGGGTTCCCGTACATTCTTCATCCATGCTCTTTTACCGTTAATTTCTTTCATAGCCCTGACATGTTTGTCACAACTAAAAACCATCAGTGCTCCATTACTGTCTGCTACATCTCAGATTGTATTTGTATTTCATTAGTTTGTCCACTAACATCCTTTTTCTGTCCCAGGATCTAATCCAGGATAACACATTGCATTTAGCTACAGTATTTTTAAAAATAGGAAATGAGAAGATTAGGTAGAGCACTATGAAAAATTAGAAAGTGGATGTTGTCCCTTTTTTGTCTCTATTCCAAGGTCTTTTCCTCTTTCACTCAATCCCAGAGGCCTGTCTCCAGGGCCGTGTCCAACATTAATCTGTTATTCTCTTCCCCTGCTATCAAAACACCCATTCTCTCAAGTATCCTTCTTAATAGCAAACTGTTTAAAATTTTAAAAAAATTCCAAGACAAATTTATATTATACTGTTAATGAATGACAGCTGCTTAATGTGTTAGGTTTCTTGTAGGTTTTTACATTTAAAAATGCATGCCCGGAAGTCATGCCCTAAACTGATAGAATGGGGTCCATAATGGTGAAATCTGGCAGACTACAGTTGGTTGTCAGGGAAGATGTTTTGTGCCGGGAACCTCCCACTCCAGCACTCCTGTGCATCTCTGCACATTTCCTGCACCAGTGGGAGCCGGAGACTGGTTTCTTCATCACGTGCAGGGTTACATCTACACAGTGAGGTTGCACGGTAATAGCTCTCTGTGCCCCTAACTATCCGGGAGTGAGGGACAGGGCATGAGATGGGCCTCCCCAGGGGAAAGAGAAGTTGTCACCTCTAGTAAATGCCATTAAGAATTTTCCATATTACAAACCTTCTTTGACTAAAGGTAGGATATTCTGTAGGTGATGTGATGTGGCTTTTGGTAGTATCTCAAACCTTAATTAAGAATAAACTTATTTACAAAACGGAAACAGACTAAACATATTTACAGTTACCAAAGGGGAAATGGGGGGTATAAATTAGGAGTTTGGGATTAGCAGATACACACTACTATATATAAAATAAGTAAACAACGAGGTGCTACTGTATAGCACAGGGAACTATATTCAATATCCTGTAATAAACCATAATGGAAAAGAATATGAAAAAATATATGTATAACTGACTCACTTTGCTGTACACCAGAAACTAACACAACATTGTAAATCAACTATACTCCAATAAAAAACAAAAAGAAAAAAAATTAAGTTTAAGAAAAAAAAAGGAATCAGTCTGAAAAATTCTTTACAAGAGATCATTTGGGGTAGACCAAGGCCCTCTGGCTGGTTAATGAACACAGGTTGTTTGTTCTTCGAACATAGTCATTTCCCCCCAACATTTTAATATGAAAAACTTGCAAAATATGGCAACATTAAAAACATTTTATAGTGAACATCCACCCAGCAATCACCTGGATTCTGCCATTACTATACTTCATCTCATGCACAGCCATCTATTCATCTATCGGTCTATCTTTGTTTTTGGATGCAGTTCAAAGGAAACTGCAGATGTGGGTATACTTGCCCTTATTTTTTCATTACTAACAGAGTTATTTTCGCGGAAGCAGAGAGAGTAAGAATTTTACGCTCTTCAACTTTAGAAAACTCTCGCCACAAAGAGTTTCTGATGACTTCTGATAATTTTAGAATCGATGGTAAGTTTAGGGAATAATATATATTTTTCATTCTTTGTCAATGTTGTTTCTCTTTTAGTTTGCCTTTCAAGTTTTGTTCCAGGGCAGTGTTCACAGAAGTAGGGATTGAGGCAGAAATATTTGGGGTATCACATGAGGGTCAGGTTTCCAGCTTGGAGAGAAAAATATAACCTATTACTCTAGCATTTCTTTTGGGGAAAATGTGTTTCAGAAATCCAGCTACCCTTATATATTTTTGAAATCCAGTGCTGTGAATAAATTGTTCAAAGTAATGATTAAAGGGGCAGGTTGTGCTAATCCTAACATCCTTTCATTAGGGGGCCCTTAAGCTGAGATGAAGTTGTGTGACAAGAAAAAAATGGTCGTTGGGCATCTTTCTGTTATCAGGTTTAAAATATCAAATAGTCCCTGCCTTTTCACTTTAGCTCGGTGGTTCTCTAAAAGCCTAAGGATCACCTGGGGCACTTAATTAAAGATACAGATTCTCTTCTGTCTCCATGAAATTCTGAATCGTAGGCTGGATGGTGCCCCAGAATCTTTAACGTGTGTCGTAGGTGATCCCAATGCAAGTAGTCAAAGGACCACACTCTGGGAAATGGTGCTTTAAAATTACTTAAATTATTTAAGATTTTTGTCTCTGATAACTGAGACTTACTGTAACCACACTGAACTTAACGTCTTATTTTGGTGTTCTTACGTGCTGTAACGGTGGCTCTGTTAACAGATCGCAGTGAACGCCAGCAGCATACCCAAGCAGATACAGTCCCTGTCTGTGCAGGACCCTCAGGTACGTTTCTCTGCCTGTCATTTACATTGTAGACAGATTTTCTTTTTTCTTTTAACAAAACCTGACATTTTAGAAAGATCGACAATATCAGGGTGGTGCTTCCAAAGCAGGGGCTTGCAAACACTCTTTTTTAATAAGTATGGCGAAAAGAGGACTGTCACTATTGACTGTGATTTTCAGGGCCTCCAGCCTTTAAATGATAGGTTCAAGAGCAAGAACTGATTACCAGACTGCTTCTGAAATTGCTGGTACTGTGTGAAATGAGAGAAGGAATGAAAATGACTCACCATTCTGCTAGATTCCAGCCACAAAACATTATAATTAATTGATACTTTCCTTTTTTGCTCCTGGTTGGATTTCTAAACTGTTTTTATAATTCTTTTATCACTGAATTTTATGGGCCAATTTATCTCTACAACTCGCCTTGTAAAAATAATAGTCCAGTGACTGTGAATGAGTTCATATTAAAAGCTATATGACAGAACACGTGTGCCACGAGTTGTGTCGGGTGCTGATGAAGGATGCTGAGCTATCCAGGGCAGGGGCTGTGGACATAGAACCAGAGTGCAGGCCCCCGTTCTGGTTTTGCTGTGTAATTAATAGGCAAGCCCTTCAGCTCTCAAAGTGGTTATACTTTCAAGTATCACCAGCCGGAGGATCACATCTTGCCTCCAAAGCTGCATATTCCATTTAAATTTATTTCTGTTCTACCTGATCTGTATTTTATGAAACAGCTGTATGCAGAGGAGATAGAGTGATGGGATTTCATGATTGCAGGTTAGACATCTAGTCCTTGACCCTTATCTTTTATACCTGAGGAAGCAAAGATTTGCAGAGGTGAAGTGGCTCAGCCAAGGTTGCACAACTACTTAGAGGCAGAGCCTTTACATTGTATTGGGCAACTCAGTAAAACACCTTGAAGTAAACTGTAGGGATTGGTTGAATGATAAAAGGAAAGGTAGGGATAACAACAAGTCACAAGGCAAAGAGAAAAGGAAACAGGAAAAGCGATAAGGATGCCTAGTAGCAAATAACATGGTATAGTTTGACTCATTTTCATATACATTATTTTGTTCTCCCAGGAAACTTTTGAGGCAGGTATTATGCCCGTTTTGTAAATGAGAAAACAAGTCCGGAGAATGACTTGCCCACAGTCGCATAGCTGGTCAGTGGCAGAGCCAAGTCTTGACTTAAAATCCGTTATTCTTCTACTCCAATAGGAATGTCTCATGTCCAGGAATTGGTAGGAGTAGGGAGAGGCTGTGTAGCAGAGGCAGTCATAACTGATGATCTGTGTTCAAGGAAATAGACTCTAGGGGAGAAAGGCAAGAAAGGTAAACTGTGGCCTCACCTACTAGGTTCCTCCATCCTCTGCATCATGAGGTTTAAAGTGCCCAACCTTTGTGCATCACGCAGGCCCAGTCGGTACAGTCCACGGCTCGGGTTGCAAGGTACCCCTCTAGATGGCTGAGCTTTCCTTTGGACTTAACTGCTGCTTATACCGGTTGTTCCTAGGGCCTGTCCTACTGAGGCTTTCTATATGAAACATTTGAATCCACAGTTGTGATGGGAAGTAGACACCATTCTAGTGTTCACACAGAGGTCTTATGTGGACAAATAAGACCTGCATGTGTAAAGAGCTAGATTTGAAATTTCCAGGAAGAAAGGGCTCTGTGCGTCAAGGGCTATCATGATTTTATGCATTTATTTCCCGAGTTTATAACAGTTTGCTGTTTTGTTTTTAAAGGGCTTACTCAATGCTAGTGAAGACTACAGAGAAGCTTCTCGTGCCGTGAACCTAGTTTTAAGATTAAGGTAAATAATATTGTTTATTTTGCATCACTTGCCCTACATATAGTACAATATTTTCTGATCTCCTTCCTTAGCTTTTTATAATATTAGCATAAAATAAAATTGTTACCTTGTTTGATCTCCCCAAATAGCCTGTGGGTGCTGTATTCCCAGGACTAATTGCTCTCTTCTAGTTGCTTCCCCAAGAAGAATAAGAAAGAAAAGCACCATGTGAGTGTATTTGCAGGCTCAGTGTACCCTTCATTAAGTTTTTTTTCCCTTGCCTTTTCTTCCTTGGGTTTTTCATTCTCTATTTTTTCTTTTCTTTTTTTACAGTGTTAGATCACAGTAAGAGATTTTTAATGAGTTTCTTTCTCACTTCAGCAGTCAGTCTCTGACAGAAATAAACCATGCCTGTATGACAAGTTGCCTGTTCAGAACATTCTTCAGTGACAGGTTTGATCAGCCACTGTGGAGAAATGATAGATATATTATGAAAGAACCCTTAGTCTTCCAGGAAATGGATACAAATATGGTGCCTGACAGTCTAGTCTTTGTATCTAGTGAATGAAAGCTTTCTATTTCAAGGATTTTTAAAAATAAGGTCAATTGAATGTGCATTCTTTATTAAGAATTTGGAATCTCAAGACAAAAGAAATTTGCTTGAACTTAATTGTAAATAGCTGAACTTACCAGGTCAATCACCGTCACATTTTTTAAAAAAAATTTTATTGGAGTAGTTGCTTTACAATGTTGTGTTAGTTTCTACTGTACAGCAAAGTGAATCAGCTATATGTATACATATATCCCCTCTTTTTTGGATTTCCTTCCCATTTAGGTCACCACAGAGCACTGAGTAGAGTTCCCTGTCACATTTTTGAAGGCATTTTAAAATATGTTCTCCTTTGACAATTAAACAAATAGAACACATGGCTAATGGGCCTTTTTCAGAGCCATGGCTATAAAAGGTGGATTCATTTTCAAGGTTAGTTTCCAGCCCTCTGAATTATCATAATCTGTCAGGGTAGATTATCTTCGCCATAATCACCCCTTCCTCCTGATGGTCATTCACAATCTGCAGTGCATTTTCCCATACTTACGTGGGAACCTCACAGCGACCCTTGGTGCAGTTTAATTCAGAGTTGATTTCCAAGTCAAGATGTGAAATTATTACAAGACTATTTTCCTTCTATTTGAGAGTAAGCTTGCTTGTGATTCACAGTTAGTGTATTTAGCAGTCTCCGGAGAATGAAATAGCCCTTTCCCTTTTCGTTTGACTTTGGAAACAGGTACTCCTTTTATTTTTCACTTGTTCATTTATTCACTTATAAATATTCACCGATATTTCTGAGAAAGCAGTTCTGTGCGGGGCTCAGTGTTTGTCTTTGAGACGCAAGGGTGAGCGAGACTACGGAGGTTACAGGCTAGCCCGCTGAGTGTGCAGTGTTGGAAGTCACCTTTAGAGCCCAGTCATCCAACCTCCTACTTGACATGCGCAGGAGTCTTTTCTTCAGTGCCCCTGCTGGGTGTTTACCCAGCCCCATGCATACTTCAGTTCACTCTTTTTCCGTGATCACCTCTGTGATACTGAAAAGCTTTAATTGCTATGTCCTCTTGAAGATTTAGCTGACCTTCCTATTCTGGGCTCAAATTCTGACCCTTAGAGCACATATCAGGTTCTCTGTATAAGTCTCCTGAAGAGTGTTAAAATGCGTACTTTGAGCCTTATTTTCCAAATATTGTTTTTCTCTGGGTACTGGGACAGTATGAAACAGTTGCATTCGCTCATTTTTCTGAGAGCCATTTGTCGTTCGCCAGGCTTGCTCCTCTCCTTTCCCAGGCGAAACAGCAAAAGTAACTTTAGCCTTGCTTCTCGCAATATAGTTCTATATCCCCCTCCCAATCATCCTTTTACTCCTGTTTACTCCTATTGACTTTTAGTCTGTATCTGCTTTTGTTACCCCTTTTTTCTCATGGGCTTAGGTGGTGGTTTTCCTGAGTTCATGGCTTGGGTCACTAGTCTTAAAAGATTCTCCATGAAGAAAGAGTTCCATGTTCAAATAAGTTAAGAAACAACGGGTAGTATCCATCTATTACACATACACACACACACACACACACACACTCCTTTTTTTGGAAATCACAAGGAACATTAACATTAAAGGTTCTAAGAAGTTCTGTGGGAGAGGAATTCGTTTAACGTTGTTTACTCTAAGACCTCTTCAACTTCAGAACTCTTTTCATGGTATCATTTTCCAGTTTAACCTTGTCCTTTTTAAATGGAGCTTACTTACTTATTTATTCATTCATTCATTCATTTATTTTTGAGCACCCATGTTTAAATGTAGGACTCCAGATGTGATCTGAGCAGGCTAGAATACAGTAGTTAGATCATGTGATTTTTTGCAGTTCACACTGTATTTCTCCTAAATAGAGAAATTTGTAAATTTCTCCTAAATCAGTCCAAGTTTTCATTGCCTTTTGAAATACCTGTGTACTTTGGTGATGACTTTAGCATGACCCAACAGTCAAACAAAAACCTCTGATTGTGTTTTTTCCATTTGAAGGGCTACCAAGGCTGACTCTGAAGTGCAACTTATGTTTTAAAACTCTGTGTACATCTTATTAGCATTTGTCACTATAAGAATGGACCTGGTGGTTTTGACTCATTGCTCACCCACCGTACATTTCACTCCTGACTGTCAATGTGTTATATTAGTTACAATGTTTGTATATACGTCCCTTGTCAATTTGATGACCCTGTCTTTTGCACCTTTATCCAGAACATTGATTATCGTGTTCAACAGTTCAAGTAGGACAGAACCTTCTGGCATGTTAGAAACTGCTCACTTTCTGAATGCCTTTCAATAATTAACTAGTATTTTTTGGTATAGTTTCTCAATCAAAAACAAATCCTCTTGACTCTACTGCCTTTTAGTCAACATTTAACTGACTATTCAAAAGGCTATCATAACAGGATCCATTAAAAGTATTTCTGAAATTAAGACATATCAATGATATTTTCAAAAAATGGAAGTGAATTTTAGTATAACTTATTTTTAGCAAACACATGTTTATGACTAATTGCTTATATGCATCTTTTTTGTTGTTGTTAAATGTTTACAAGGTATTTGTTTAAATTTGTGTTTTTTTTACATTTGAGAACTCATGAATCTCTCAGAATATGTTGCTGGACCTCTTTAAGGGCAATCCTTGTACAGTTGTGAACAGTGCAGGGGTTAGGAACACTGACCCCCAGCGAAGTTGAAAATCTGCTTATAACTTTACAGCTGGCCCTCTGTATACACAGTTCCACATCTGCAGATTTAACCAGCCGTGGGCTGTGTAGTCCTGTGGTGTGTATGTATTGAAAAAAAAAATCCGCATATAAGTGGGCCTGCACAGTTCAAATCCCTGTTGTTTGCAGGTCAACTGTACTTTAATTTGAGAAATAGCCTTTGAAAGTTAACAGTTAAAAGCTGTTAAGTTTTGGGGATCACTCTCTGCTGATATAAAAGTAAACGGCAGCTACTCTCATTCATCCTATAGATATTTATCAAGCACCTACCTTGTGCATGGCACTGTTCTAGGCCCTGTGACGCAATAAGGGAAAAAGCAAAAGACAAATTTCCTGCCCTCCAGGAGCTTACATTCTAGAGGTAGGGAGAGGAGCAATTCAAATACGAGCATTACTGATACGATATATCAGGTTCTCTGAAGGAAAAGCTGCATCAAGAGGCTAGAAAGTCTGAGGGTGCTGTTCTGTATTAAGGAAGGTATGTTAGTTTTCTATTGCTATGTAACAAGTTACCACAAATTTCGTGGCTTAAATCAACATCCATTTATTATCTCATAGCTTCTGTAGGTCAGAAGTCTGGACACGGCCTACTTGGGTCCTCTGCTGTGGCCCACCAGGCTGCAGTTAAGACCTGCTCACCTGGAGCTTGAGGTCTTCTTTCAAGCTCATTTGGGCGTGGCCAGAATTCAGTTCCTTGCAGGTGTGGACTGAGATCCTCGGCTCCTACAGCCCACCCCACTCCAGCCAGTTCACAGCCTGACTTTGCTTTTTTCAGGGGCAGTTGGAGAACATTTCCCCTGCCCTCCCAAGGGCCCAGTCCCTCTGTTAAAGGTTTTTCACCTAATTAAGCCAGTCTCATCTAGAATAATCTCCCTTTTGATTAAGTCAAAATCAACTGATTTGGAACTTGAACTACATCTGCAAAATTCCTGCACCTTTGTCATAAAACAGAACTTAATCACAGGAGTGACAGCCCATCATATTTAAAGGTCCGGGTCACACTCAGGGCAGAGGATTATGTAGGGCATGTACACCAGGGGACAGGAAGGTTGGAAGCCATCATAGAATTCGACATACCATAAAAGGGCTCTCTAGATAAAAAGATAGTTGAGCAGACCCCTGACAGAAGTGAGGAACCAAGCCATGAGGTTGCTTGGAGGGAGAAAGTTCTAGGCAGAGCAAACAGCGATCGCAAATATTCTGAGCAGCAAGGATGTTCTAAGTAGTTATAGAAACAGCCAGGGAACCAGTATGGCCAGAGTGGTGGTGGTGGTGGGGGGGAGGTCTGAAGGTTAGCAGGGGCTGAATCATGTAGGGCCATATAGCCTGTGGTGAAGACCTTGGATCTCACTGTTTGTGGATGGGAAACTGTGGTGGAAAGTTTGTGAGCAGAAGAGTTACAACATGGAGACTAGACCATATAGAGCCCATTCAGGGTAGAAACAGAGGGCCCACTGGCTGGCTATTGCCCTGGTGCAAAAAATGATGATGTGACCTGGACCAGGGTGGGAAGTAATGGAGGTGGCGAGCAATTATCAGATTCTGGATGGAGTAGAGAGGACTTAAAAGGTTTGGGCCTGAAAATACAGATGAATGGAGTTGCTGTCTTCTGAGATGGGGAGGGCAGTTAGAGTCGCAGGTTTGGGCAGAATCAAGAATTCAGTTTTGGACAAGTTCAGTTTGAGCTGTCTAGTGGAAATCTATCTCATGATGTCAAGTAGGCATT